TTCCATCTCCTTAATAGTAGCTCTGGTCTGGGTCACATGACTGTGGAGGAGGACGGAAGGGACATGGAATGGAGGAGTGGGCAACATTCTGAACTGCTGCCCAATTGCTCCTCCCCCCAGAATGGATTGTGGGATTTTTTCCCTAGAATCTTTTTCTCCAAGCCCCTGAACAGCTCCAGCTCATTTTTAATGAGATATTTCTTTTTCTGGATTCTCACCACCCCCTCACCCCCCAGCCATATATGGCTGAGTTTCCTTCAGTTTTTGGAAAGTTGTGTTGCTAATGGACAAACAGACCAATGACTGGAACCCGATGCCCCTTTTCCATAGTTTCTGTTGAGTTGGGAAGAATACATATTAGGGAGCTCTGAGTTCGCAAGGATCAGAGAAAAATCTAGTTCAATTACACCAATTATAATACCGAATCATATATTCATAGTGCAGTTTAAAAAATAAAGTCATCAAACTGCTTAGGTGGTGATAGGGCTGTGCTTAAATTTTGGTAATAAATATAATACAAATGCAAACACCTCTATATACATATCATGCAAATTCAGGGTCACTGAAGATATCAGAAGAATATGGGTTATTCCTTGTTCTTGATTAATAAATTGATTTTTAACAACCTTTTGAAATTCTCCACCAAGGTTGTGGGCAGAACATTTGTTTCTTCCTAATTTCTACAAAGAAAGGAGAAATTCAAGGCAATGTCATTTTTTCTAGTAGTGACATTAGCAGTGATAATGGAAAAGCATTATGGAATTAATTTCCTCAGGAGTTCCTCCTCCTTTCAAGATTTAATGCAAGCATGGAAAGCCCAGGAAGCTACAGATCACCTGAGATAGGATTGTACACTGAAAGAAAGAAAGAAAGGACACACTTTGGCCACCTCATTACTGATTAAATCTACTACAATTCATACATAAACATTTTTTTCAAGATTCCTTTCTCCTTTGAAACCATTTGTAAAGCAAATGTTCTTTCATCAAAAATGAGTAAGAATGGGTAGATAAAAACACAGTATATTAAATATGTTTTAAAGTATATTTGATAATAATTATGATCACTTAGCCATACAATATGCAATGTCGGCTTTTCAGAAAAAGCTAGCCTTTTCCACAGGCATGAGGGCCAGGCTGTTAGTGGAGTCAGACAGTGGTGAATGTGTTGATTGAGGATTATGTATAACGGGCCTCGGCTTTTGTATTTTGCACGCTATGTTTATTATATTGGTTTGCATTGGTATTTAGGCTGCTTTTTTATTGTTTCGGGTTGTGAGCTGCCCAGAATTATTTGTTAATATGGGCGGCCAAATATATTTCTATATATAAATGAACATTTACACATTCATGAAAAAAAATGTTCAACGTTTAAGGGAAATGCTGACGTGCGGTGGATCCATTAAAATATAGATGTATCCAACAAATAATCAGTTACCAATAGAAGAGAATATATATCGCTCAGGATTGAACTGTGGAGTCCTTGGTGCTTTCTGAGCTTGGTTGTCTTCTTGCAAATGTTTTGTTACCCGGCTAGGTAACAAACGTTTGTAAGAAAACCACCAAGCTCAGAGAACCCCAAGGACTCCACAAATACTCATTTTTTTAGAATATTCTGTAGAGATTAATGTAAGCATTGAGAAACCTTTAAGAGGGGAAGAAAAATGACTTTACTATTTACAATATAGTCATAACAGACACTGAGATGCTCTTCAAATAACCACACTTGAAGAGAAGAGGCATCATAGAAAGACGCTGATTTAAATCCATGTCTTGAGTCAAAAAGTGTTGCTTTTGTTTTCTAAATCAGTTTCTTGAATTAGTATTCATCCCCCCAAAAAAACAAAACAAACAAACAAAAAGCACTAAAGAATGAAAGGGGTCTGGTAAAATAATTTGAATTGGATTGGTATATAAAATTATATTGCTTAATGAAGAGGTAAAATCACACACAAATTACGATTTTATTCAATTGTTGACAAACATGGCAAGCTAAATGTCAGTGCAGAGAAATTGATCAGTAACAGATCCATAAGGTTAAATGTTATCTGCAAAAACTTTATTTAAAAGTTCAGAGTTTTGCTGGAGTTGGGCAGCTATAACAAATTTGCATGAATAAATAAATCATTCCTTTGCTAGTGTATAAATGCTTGAGTATCTCACTTCAGATTACTCTGGTATTTATTTCATGTGACATTAGGACAGATTTTAGTGTAAGGGCAGATGATGTGATGCCCAAGTGCACAACAGATGCATCCACTATGGTCCCTACCTCACCTGACTTTTTAAGAGAGGCTTTTAATTACAAACAGCAACAAGAAATGAAGGTTATATAGCATCACTGTTATTTAATAGAAGGGCTCTGGGTCCCAGAAATCTCCATCAGAGTTCCTGAAAGGGTGGATGTCTTTATGTGCTGTTTGCGTGCGTCCCAACACCCCCACTCCACCACAGGCAAAAATAATCTAGGTAGTAAGGAGACCAAAGGAGGCGAGAGGAACTAGAAGGAAAGCAAGTTTACCTGTTTCTTTTCTGGCAAATGGACATTTTGTAAATTTTTAAAATATGCAGCCTCCCCACTCTCCCATGTTTCTCAGAGTTACATGATATGTTTTCACATTTTCCAATGTGGTTCCTACCCTAAAGTTGACTAGTCCTCAGATAACGTAACACAGACAAAATGAAAAGTGATTTTGCACATGCTGGATTTCAGCAACCCACACCTCCTTTCACGTGGCTGGGAAAGGAAATAAATTCAACTCAAGGAGATTGTAGTTATATATCAACAAAGAATTGTCATTTGTAAGTGGGATGGGCAACTGGAGGGGTCCATATGTGGTTTAAATATAGTACCCAGAATCCTTCAGCTGGGCTGGCGGAACTTAAAATTCAGCAACGGAGGGTGGAGTGTCAGAGGGGAAGTATTACTCCAAATCATTTTACTATGGAAGAAAGTAAAAAGTACTTAGCTAAATAATCCAAAGTCCTCTTAATCAAAGCAAGGCAAACAAGCTTGATTAAATGTATGAATACCGGTAGTTCCTGCTTTAAATGGAGAAAGAGGGTCTTCAGGATCAGGATTTTTAAGCGCAGTTAAGTTTCTCATGTGCAAACCTCATCACCCTCTCCAGTACTTTGTTCCATTCTGCTCTCATTAAGGATTTGTTTCCACTGTTCATGCCCCGTTACACAATTTCAGTTTAATTAATTATCCCGCTGATATGAAATCACCAAAGTATTCTTTCTTTCTAGGTACATGCAAACTCATTAACATCAAATGTAATAGATCTAAAAAAAAAAAAAATCCACCAAAAAAATACTTAAGGAAAAAAAAGCACTCAGTTATCTAATGAAATTCTAACCTGTTTTATCACTGTCTAACTTAGTAGTAACTTTACTTTCTTGAAAATCAATGTCTTATTTAAAACTTTGGGTTAGAATGCTACAGTACATAGCTGTATGTTAAATTTATTCAAATATGCAAATGGAAGACATTTCCTAGAAGGTCACTAGTAAGACTCCTGATTCAACTTGCTTTCAAATATGAACGTGTAATTTAGTGACAATAAAAAGAAAATAACAACCATAACAATAGCTTTTAGACTCTTCAGTTTAAGCAACTGACATGAGGCTGCAGAAATACTATATGGGTTTCACCTCCATCCAGTGTCAACAAAACCACAGAAAAATGTTAAAAGGATTTTGCATGTTTGATGGCTTTTCAATGAAGAAGAGAGAAACTTGAACAGGGATGTGGTATGAATTAGATATCAGTGCCAGGATGTGGTGTATTTACTGCCAGGCTTTATTATCTTGGAATACTGAAGTTGGGTGTGGCTGAGAAGTTCCACAGTATCAAGACAAGATTATAAGGTTAACAGCCCCCATTCAACTCTCACATTAAATGCTTTTGCCAGCTTGCCAAATGAACGGTGTGCTTGCCTCCTGCAAAGGTCACTACAAAATCAGCAAACAAGTGAACATACTACATTCCAAATAATAGCCCACATTACCAATGCTCACTGCTTTAGTCTGCCATATAAATTATATTTCGCCAAGATTCAGGACGAAGCACGATTTGTGATCTTCCATTTCATGTGCCCTAACCTCATTAAAGGGCAAACTAGCAGCTATGTGAATGTCTCTTTAAAGAGGAGCTTGATAGCAGCAGACATCCTTAGCTTAGATTCCATACTACATGCCTAGGAGACCTTACATGATGCATCTATTGCTGAACTGAAGTTCTTTGTATTACAGATGAAAAATCCAGTTTAGCTCTCAGCTCTCCCTAATCTGATACTGGGACTGCAGGCTGGGACAGGATGAACACATCTACTGCTAGATGATACAATTGAAGTCTGTAGATGGAGAATTCATGTATCTTTTTGCACTTTTACAAGGAGGTGGATATCTGCAGATTATTTTTTTCCCCTCAAAGCTGCATCATATATTTGATTCTTCATCTGCAATCTGAAATAGTACAGACCAGTAGTAACAGATACAAACCATCTGAAACATGATCAAGAGTTACAGCTCCAGAACTGGCCCGTTGTTTTCCAATATATTTTCATCCACCTTTACTGAAATACACTGGAACTGTAGAGGTCTGCGGTTCTAACGTCAAATGAAGATGATAGAAGTGCCATTGTTGAGACTTTGCACACACTCCCTTCTATAAACTGAAGTTATAACTGTAGTAGTTATTTGTTCTTAAGAGACCCCTCTATATCTGATGATCATTATCATCAGTTCAGAAGCCAGTATGATTTAAAATATTGTGGGCAAGAATAGGCAACTTTTTACCCGCTCAGTGTTTTGGTCTCCAACACTACAATCCTTTCACACTGGCCATAGTTACAGGGCACTAATGGAAACCAAAATTCAAAATATCTAGAGGTCCACCGCGGTCCCTACGTCTTGGTAATCTGTGTGCCTCTGGGCTTGTGCAAGTATATAAAAGTTATATTACATACTGGGTTATCTGCAACAGATATATGTTACCTGTTCTTGTCTCTCCAGCCATTTATCTACCATGGGATGAGTGGCGCTTAGTGAAGAACGAGCATTATCCCTCTGAAACTGGTTAGCAGACCAGCTACTGGTGTCCCGTGGTAGGCTTCTGTAATTTTCGTCTTTCTGTTTCAAAACAAAGGGAGGAAACTCCTATGATATTAAGTCAAAGCAAAAAACACTGCCTAAGGACAATAACCTTACAACAAGGTTTTAAAAGGATAGCACACTAAGACCAATTGGTCAATCAACAAAATGGGTTTGTCTGGAATACTTGCACTGCAAATCTGCTGTAGAACTTCAAGAGACAACTACATTAAGAATACTTGCAAACTTCACCATGACGAACCAAAGATGAACCTAGCAAATTAAGCAGTCAAGCAGGATTTGGCTAGGATAGGGACAAATCTAATCTAGTCAAAATTGCAATAATTATACCAGCAGAATATCTTAGGTATAGCATTATAAATGTGCTTGTCTTTGGAATCAAAATCTACAGGAATACATTAAGGAAGCAGTTTTTATACTCTGCCTAATACCTGTGTGTTTCTGTCTGCCATTATAAACTCAAGATGTGTCTGTGGGCAGGCATCTGTCTATCAAAATAGAATGGGATTAAACTTTTATTAAAACGTACAGTAGGGGGTACAACAGGCACTGAAGCAGGCCCCAGAAATTTCTCTTTATGCTACAAACATATACATCCAAAAGCCTTGAGAAAAAGCAGCAGGTCAGATACAGAAAAATGTTTCTCATTACCTTTCCTCTTTGTGTCAGAAATGTATTTGCAATTATTAAAAGCCAGAAACAATTATTTAAATTAATTGAAATGGTGCAAAGGTAAGGCAAAATCACAGTCAAGACAAGAAATATGAACTGATATGAATGAAAATCACTCCAAAACCTTAATTTACTGACATGACCTTTCTAGATGAAAACTCTAAGTGAGTTGATAAGCATTCTTGCAAAGAAGTCAGAAAGATAATGAAGAGTTAACCCTCACTTCTATATTGACTGGTAATTATAATTTCCTGTGCGTACTTTTGAAATAGGACCACCTGAATAATCCTGGATAATTTTTCAGTTTTCATTGAATTACCTCTCTCAGAAGATGTATATTTATGTTTGTAAAGCAACACTAGGATCCTCAGAGCTTATACTGTACAGATAGTCCTCAACTTACAACCATTTCTTTAGTGACCATTTGAAGTTATAATGGCACTGAAAAAATGGCTTATGACCAGTCCTCACACTTAAGACCGCACAGCTTCCCTGCATCACGTGATCAAAATCTAGGCACTTGGCAACCGGCATGTATTTACAACAGTTGCAGTGTCCCGGGGTCATGTGATCACCATCTGCGACCTTCCCAACCGGTTTCCAACAAGCAAAATTAATGGGGAACCATGTGATTCACTTAACAGCAGCAATAATTCGCTTAACAACTGCCACACATGATGCTTAGCTTAATGATCACACTGCTTAATAACAAATGTTCTGGTCCTTATTGTGGTTGTAAGTCAAGGACTATCTGTATGTCTATTTCAAATGCATAACCTTGTCTTACCCCTGGTTCACTACAGAACCATTATGGATTGCAAACTTAAAATAAGTCTGATTCTCACAGAAATGGAAATCTTGCTCCTACACAAATACTTATTTGGATAGAAAAAGGAGGACCATCTAGCCATTTAAGCCCACACCTAACTTATATATTTCAGTCCAAAGTCAAGGACTCTGTGAGGTAGAGAAAAACATATAACTTTAAATGTAAATAAAACATACATTTTGTTATACCAATTTTCTCAAAAGTACGGATTACAACAAATGGTCTTCATACAAACGTGTTTTATAGAGAAAATATCGTAGTTAGCTTACAGGAATCATGCAGACATAAAAATATTAAAATTAGGGCTTAGGAATCAGTATTTCTTCTCAAGCATAGTTAAACCTGGAAGCAGAGAGGTAAATTAAAGTAGCAAAGAGGTCAATTATCATAATAGCCCTCCGTTAAGAGCTGAAATCTGTCCAGGGCTCAGAATCAGATAAGCCAGTTATCTGATTAATAACTTCAGTCAGTAGGAACAGTTCAGGAATTCAAAGAGGTATACTTAATACCACAAAGCTCTTAACTATAAAAAGCTACTAACATCAGCGCTGTCTCAGTATGGTGTGTGGCCAAAGCAGGGCTTTAACATCTCTATATTTGGAGTCTCTACCCATCTAAGACTATTGAGTTAACAGATCTACTCGGGAATGAATGTAGGGTGGATGGTGTCTTCATTTCTTGCTCTAGCATCAGTGTAATAACTGGTTTTGTTCATTGGGGTTCACATGGATCACAGATCTGTCTGTCTATCTATCACATTTATAAAGCTACCCATCTCACATAGTGATTCTGGGCAGCATAAATAATAAAATAATGCAAATACATAATAAACCATTAAAATACTACCAAAATAAATTAAAAAGATTAAAAACAAAATACCCAAAAAACATACAAGAGAGTGGATTCCAATCAACCATCATATAACCATCTAGCAGGCTCCACTCTATCATGGGATCCCCAGGCCAGCTGACAAAACCATGTTTTAAGGGCCTTCCGGAAGGCCAGAAGGATTGGAGCCAGCCTCATCTCAGGTGTAATGAACCATACAGTTTGAGAAGCACTGGATTAAAGTAATCCCTATAAACTAAACTTGCTTCTCCTTCTTAAAAATGAAAGGAAAAGCTGACAGCTTAAAGTTTGTTTGCTTCTAATCTAGTTTTTCAACACATCAGCTGACAATGTTTTTGTTAGATTTTCTATCATAGCACCAGCACTATCTTGATAACCAGGGATTATGGGATAGCACGGACATATATAGTTTGCTCTGAAGCAACAATATATGTCTGTGCTATCCCATAATCCCTGGTTATCAAGATAGTGTTAGAACTATGAGTTATATAACTAGATATACTTAGATATGAGAACTTCATTCATGGTTTTGGTTCCATAAGTAACCTATGTTAAATTCACTATCTGCTTGCATGGACTTCATTCTTACGTCAAGACTAAAGCCACTTTCAATATTTCAACAACAGAGTTCAGTAGGCTGAGTGAGAGGAAAATGTTTCTACCTGTGAGATTTATCTCTTTTTACAGTAAAAATCCAATATTCTTGTGCTATCTTTTTGCATGTTAAGATGTCTCTTAAAAGTCAAAGATGAACTAAGGTTTCCATTGAGTCAAATTATACACCTGGTGACTTAATGGATATGTCCCTGCAGATTTCTTGGAGGCAATATGCAAGTGGATTGACACTGCCTTCTTCCATGATGTTGTTCCCCCACCACCATCAAAAACTTTCCAGGGCCTCAATATGTTTGCAGAATGTTGCCAGATAAATACAAGAAACCAAACAAGGGAATTTCTGGTTTGAGTATCATGGTCAGTAAGCTATACAACTTCTCCCTTCTCCTAAGAGCTGCATTAGCATGTTCATTCACACTCCTGCGCTTAAGGCAATCAGTTAATTGTCTTGAAAATCCCATTATGCTCTTGAAATTCTGATTTTCTATCTTGAGTGTTCAGAAACAAATGCTGAAGTTGCTGGATCTGATATGCTGCTCAGGATAATTAAAAGAACAGGGAAGCATTGTTGATATTTACCAAAGTAATAATGGCACAAAATACAGTGGTACCTCGGGATATGAACGCCTCTACTAACAAACATTTCAGGTTATGACCAGCTTCGGCAGGAAAATTTTACCTTGGGTTACAAACTCGCCTTGACTTACGAACCGGATCCGCGGCCATTTTCCCTGCTGCCACGCGGTCGCAGCTTCCTGTGGGCGAGGCCGCGGTAGCAAGGAGACGTTCGGTGAGGCTTGTGGTGTGTTTTGCAGTGTTTTGCGAAGATTTTTGGTGTGCGTGTTAGCATGGCTCCAAAGAAAATGTAGAGCAGGCTTGGCGGGAGTAAGGCTCTGAAAAGTGACGATCGAGCTGAAGAAGGAAATTATAGAAAAGCATGATCGTGGCATTCGTGTGACTGATCTGGCCTTGGAGTACAAGATGGCGAAGTCGACCATTTCGACTATTCTCAAGAATAAAGATGCCATCAGAGGAGCTGATGTGGCCAAAGGAGTGTCGATCTTAACAAGGCAGAGGACACCAGTGCTGGAAGAGGTGGAAAAGCTGTGTTGGTGTGGCTGAATGAGAAACAGCTGGCAGGTGATAGCGTGAGTGAGGCTATGATCTGCGAGAAAGCCAGGAAGCTGCACAGTGATTTGCTGCAGACAAACCCCTCTACCAGTGCAGCAAGTGAGGAATTTAAAGCCAGCAAAGGCTGGTTTGAGAAATTCCGAAAGAGAAGTGCAATCCACAGTGTGGCAAGACATGGTGAGGCTTCCAGTTCTGACAAGGCTGCTGCAGAAGCCTAAAAGAAAGAATTTGAGGACTTCATGAAGCCGGAAGGGTATGTCACTGAGCAAGTGTTCAACTGCGACA